TTCAGAATAGCGTCTTTGTAATGTTTCTCTTTTTAATCTTCATACTTCAACAAATGTAGAATAATTAATCTTATTAGTAAAATATTCATTACCCTTTTTTCTTTATATATTCCTTATACTAATTTATAGAAAAACAGAAGGAAAGAATATTAAATAATTCACGTTCGTAGATTAATCTGGAGATTATATATAATGCAACACTAGGAGCTTATACTGGTTTATCTTCTTTTATTTATCTGATCTTCGACATTTGCGTTTCACTGTTCTATGATAATGCGTAATACACGTATAAGAATTAATAGAGAAATGCGAACGGGAGAAACCACGCTCTTCACGTAAAACGTACACTTGAAGTATATATGCAATTTATTTATGTCGTACTTTTATACTCGAGGAATATAACTGATAGCAAAAGTGATCAATGCTTTCACGTTTTTGCCACTCAATAGAATGGTACCTCTGATATATATGCTCGCTGTCGTCAGCTTCGACTTTCCCCTTCCATAACGAACATTAAACATCTCACCATTTATTTCTGCTCGTAACTTTATAACGCTGTATATACGTATTCTATTAATTACCATAATTTAAAATAAGTATTATTTATTTTTGAACAATTTACTTTCTATTTTTTTCCGATATGATTTTTTAAAAAATTAGATGCATTTTTTACATTTAATATTTCTTGTGATTATATGCTGTAGAGAATTGCTTCTATTTTAGACATTATTATTTCTTCGTAATATGCGTATAGTTACGCCTTTGAATGTGATTTCAATAATCGGCGTCAGTGGTGAACCATAACCGCAAATGTAGTTAAAGCTCTAATTAATGAGAGTCCTATTCGAACGGAAGAACGCGGTTTTGGTATAAAATTATTTCCTTCATGAGATTTCCTTTATGATAAAGGATACTATTTTAAGTTATTTTTGTTTCAATTTATTATTATAAAATGTTAGAACATGTTATTTTTAATTTAAAGTTAAATAAAACGAATTCTTTTTTCTTTTCTTGATAAAAATATTGAGGTATTAATAGGCATGAATACACTTCAGCGTATAAAAGAAAAAGTACAAATTGAGCTTTCGAGATATTAAACTAACAACAATTAAAACACGGACAATTGAGAGCTTTAATACGCGGTAATTATATTTTTAAATGTAATATGTTTCACTATATGGATAAACATGTTATTCCCCTTACTGAAAATGAAATATTGGAATATCAATAATCGTTATTGGATTTTCATAGTGATTATTCGCTCTTTAGTAATTATTATAATAGTAATAGTAATTATTTATTATCCAATAATTGGATTGCTGACGTCAATCCTCAATAGTTTCTGATGGAGTGATTATTGATTCCCTAATCAGATTAAAAATTATTGAGGAATGATTATTTAGAATAATCATTCCTCAATAATTTTTTATTCCCTAATCAGATTCCCTAATCAATAATATTGATTCCCTAATCAGATTAAAAATTATTGAGGAATTATTTAGAATAATCATTCCTCAATAATTTTTGATTATTGATTTTCTAATCACATTATCCGTAATGATCACTACAACGCATATTTTAACTGTAGTAATATATTTTAACGTGAGCTTTTTAACAATATCTATTGATCAAATATATATTACGCATAAATAGAGAAACTTGTATTAACGAGTGTCATTCCAGCCTTATATTTATTATTGTTGCATTTTTTGAAAAGCAATAGAGATGTGTGAATTAATAAAAACTAGATTTCAGAATGTTCTTATATTTTTTACTAGTACACATTATTACTAGTACACATACATAAATATAAAATAAAATATCCGGCGGTGTAATAAAAAATACATACAATATCAAATATATTTATGGTTACGCACTAGTCTTAAAAATTAATAATAAATGCAATCTTGGTACTCAAGCCTCTCTGTACCTGAAAAGTCGAGATAATAAAGAGTATGTAATCGATTTAATTCTAATTACTGTTAATTAATTATCTATCTATAACATTGTTCTTGTGCTACACACAAATAGTATGATATTTTTGAATTCCATATTTGTACATATATAATCAGAGGGAAGTAAACCAGGGAGTATAAAGATACATCGGTAATCTGCAAACGTTTGCAATTTAGCATTCCACTATTGTTATGCAAAGTAGTAAGACAAGCATGACACGTTGTCGATTTATACGTATGTATCATACACACCGTATGTATCATACCGTATATACAATGCGTAATAATAAATAAAGAAACATATCATAAATTTTTATGCTCATCTGTATTCTCTGCTCTCTCTTTTTTATATTAATGATTCCTTTGTATTAAATTTCGTTTATGTCTCTGATTATCTCATCTTTGTCTTATATTTATCATGTTCCTACATGTACATAGGATTCAAGAATGCTCGTTTTATTATACACTTTACGATCTCAGTTTGAATCTGACGTATTCCGAAATTAATGGACGTATTATATAATTAACTCTGATATATTTTAATCTTTGTGAAGGGAATAATCGAATTACTAGCTTGCATGATCAATATCGGACGGGTGGATATATACTTTTGAGAATTTAAATTTTCATTGCATATATAATAAAAATAAGATTGATCAATGGTAATGGCGATAACCATTGTCTTGCTCTTAACTTGATTATACTTTTATACACAAAAAGAACAATTTTGCGCTGAAGTATCTAAAAATTTAGCTAAATATAAACCAACGCTTCTAAATAATTTTGTTTAAATCAGCAAAAGTATATAGGATGTTCAAACTGATTGTTTAGAATGTTGAATTTTTTTGCAACATCATCAACTCTTAAGTGTTCTATATAATTATTTTGATGACCCAATAAAATTATTTTCAGATCTGTATATTTAATTAAATTTTTAGATTTAAATGTTTTTTCCGTGTAGATACATACATATATTATACTGCATACAATTATTGCGAGCATTATAAGACACTTATAAATTTTGTAGGTTAAATGATGTATAATGTTCATAAAAACCTTATCAACAAATATTTATGTACGTACATTTCAATTACTATTGTAATTTTTATTTCTCTATAGTTGCAATTACAATAATAAATTTCATCGAAAACGGATTTGATATAAAATAATCTATAATTATAAAAAAAACTTGAGTACATATGTAATTATACTTATTTTTTATATATATATATTATCTCTATTTTAATTATAATATTTTTACGTCGAGATTATTACGTGTATATTTATACATCGTAATTGAAATGTATAATTTTTATATTCGTTATTTTTCAAAATCACGAAATTGTGCATTATAGCACTAAGGAAATTGATAGAATTCATATTCTAACAAATTTGATTAGTCTGTACATCAATATGTGATATAAATAACTTTGCAGTTTTCCAAATGCTTTGAGGATAAAGTCACTAAATAAGGACTTTTCTCTCGCAGTTACATTCGTATGAGTCATATCTTTTTCAATTACAACTCATCAGAAATTCCCGTAATTTTTTTTCTTGATCTTTGCAAGAAATAATAATTTTTAAAGAATTGCATTGAAATTTGTTGCAACGGTTCAATGATTTATTTTACACATTTCAACAGATTTGAAGCTTATCTAAATATACTAATCTTAGATTGAATACAAATATCAATTTAGAAAAAGCTTAATTAATTTCATTTATTCATAATAATTATGAAAAATTTATTAAATTTTATTACAAATTTTATTTAAAATTTGCTATTTCTTTCGTTGCAAGAATGAAAGAAGAGAAATTTGAAAAAAAAAAAACAACAAAAACAGAAGAATATTATAATCTTATATTTTAATATTTTTATATATTTTATTGACTTGATCGATTAATTTTGCTTTCGCAATTATAAAAGTCGCGTGAAATTTAAATTATACGGTATGAAAGGTTGTACCTCGTGGTGGCACGGGTGGTGCAGGCAACTTCTTTGGTATGGCGCCGAGAACCTTGGCATCGTGACTTATATTAACAGCAAGGTTCATATATTCCGGCATTTTAGTCTCGGTGACCTCATTCATGTTTTTCGAAATGTTCGCCGAATCCGTCGGTACATGTTCCTCATCGCATATTGTCTCTTGACCTCGAAGCGCAGAGTCGACCTCGTCAACGACGGATTGAGCGAATGGTGGTTTCACTTTCGTGGTGTTGGAACACGCCTCGACGGTATCGTTAATGTGTTCTTCCACGGCTTCCCGATCCACGTGAACAGAATTGGATGTCGATTCGTTACTAGTATAATCTGGAATGCACATTCCTGTTGGTGCGATTGGAGTGAAAATCAATGCCGCCGGATCAATGTTCGTGTAGCTAACAAGTTTAGTCGCTTCGATTTCTTCCTGATGTTTATCTGATGAAACAGTGACGTTCTGGACGAAGTCGTGATTATTATTCATTGGATGTTCACATAGTGAACTTGGTGTACCCGGTTCTTTCGAAGTATCTATTTTAAACGCTATGAAAATTGAATTATTTATTTTTGAGATCTTAATTATTTCTGTAAATGTAATTATCTAAATGATTAGATGCATCTTTAATAATTAAAGGACATTTAAAAGATACTAGAGATATCTGAATAATGAGATATCTGAATTAATGTCCGAATTTTTGGATATTCTTTTTCAATTGTTATACTGTTCAGAATAATTAGAAATGATGCTTGAAATAAATAGGAATGAGAGTATTAAATTTTATTAATTTACCATGAACAGGTAATCCCGACGGTGGAAACGCAATGTAATACTCATTATCATTGACTCTGGATGGTGACTGTGTTTGTCGGAGATCAAGGTCACACGCGATAGAGAGACTCGGTGATGGGGAATACCCAGATGCCGGTGAATACCTGCCCGTGAAAGGTTTCGGTGCAGGTGGTATTTCGTAGGATGTCATGCCAGTTTTCTCATCCCTGACATTCTGGAGCTAAAAATAAATTGTGTCTAAATTAACAAAATAAAAATATAAATTTACTATTATTTCATATTCTTTTCAGTACGTAATATCTTCTAAAGATTATATTTTGTTCAAATATAAAATTAATATTCGATTTTAGATGAAAAAGAGAGAGAGAGAGAGAGAGAGAGAGAGAGAGAGAGAGAGAATATTATTTTTAATAATTAACACATTTTTAAATGCGGAGAAAATAAAAATTTTGAATCGAAAATTAAAATTCCAGCAACTTAATGATTATCATTTTTTTCTATACTTGGTCGATAATTATTTAGCTAAATTGTTTATGTCTTATTTATAATATTTCACGTACTCTTCTGTCTTCGGAATCAGAATGAGTTCCACTGTCACCCAAGCTTGCACCGCTGCAACCGCTGACAGTGCTCATTCTAC